CTGCAAAGTTTAAAACATGATTCCTTTGACTACATTTATTATTTATTGACAGGGAATTAACGAGAGGACGATACCAGAAGCACTAGCCAAATGTCTTTTCCATGTAAAGAGTGTGGCAAGTGTTTTAGTGAAGCAGGACACCTAAGAAGTCATGAAAGAGTTCACACTGAGGAAAAGACTTACGAATGTAAACATTGTGACAAATGTTTTAGTGGCACAGGACATCTGATAGAACATGAAAGAGTCCACACTGGGGAGAAGCCTTATGAATGTAAACAGTGTGGCAAGTGTTTTAGTGTAGCAGGAAACCTTACGAGACATAAAAAAGTCCACACCGTGGAAAAGCCTTACCAATGTAAACAGTGTGACAAATGTTTTAGTGATACAGGACACCTAAGGAGACATGAACATCTTCACAGTGGGGGAAAGCCTTACAAATGTAAACAATGTGAGAAGTGTTTTAGCCAAGTTGCAAGTCTAAGGAGTCATGAAAGAGTTCACACTGGGGAAAAACCTTATGAATGTACAATATGTGGCAAGTGGTTTGGTCAAAGAGGAAACCTAAGGATTCATGAAAGAGTTCACACTGGGGAAAAACCTTATGAATGTAAACAGTGTAGCAAGTGTTTTAGTGAAGCAGGACGCCTAAAGAGACATGAAAGAATTCACACCGGGGAAAAGCCTTATCAATGTAAACAGTGTGACAAGTGTTTTAGCCAGGTATCAAGCCTAAGGAGACATGAAAGAGTTCACACTGGGGAAAAACCTTATGAATGTAATCATTGTCACAAATGTTTTAGTGAACCAGGACACCTAAGGAGACATGAAAGGATTCACACTGAGGAAAAGCCTTACAAATGTAAACATTGTGACAAGTGTTTTTGCCAGTTAGAAAGCTTAAGGAGTCATGAAAGAGTTCACACTGGGGAAAAGCCATATGAATGTAAACAGTGTGGCAAGTGCTTTACTCACGTATCGAACCTAAGGACGCATGAAAGAGCTCACAGTGGGAAAAAACCTTACAAATGTAAACATTGTTGCAACTGTTATAGCAAGGTAGGAAACCTAAGGAAGCATGAACGAGTTCACACTGTAGAATCTTTTGTATGAAATAGACTGGCAAGTGTTGTCGCAAAGCAGAATACCTATTAAATGAATGTAAACAGTGTGACAAGTGTTTTAGTCAATTAGGAAACCTAAGAACTCATAAAACAGTTAAGACTGGGGAGAAAACCTTATGAATTAAACAATGTGGCACATGTTTTAGCCAAGCAGAAAACCTAATTTTCATGAAAGAGTTCACAGTGGGGAAAAGCCTTATGAATGTAAACAGTGTTGCAAGTATTTTAGTCAAACAGGAGGCCTAAGGATTCATGAAAGAGTTCACACCGGTGAAAAGCCTGGCTTGTGAATGTAATTAGTGTGGCAAGTGTTTTAGCTAGGCAGGAAACGTGAACCTGAGGAAACACGAATGAGTTTACACTGGAAAAACGACCCCTTAACATAAACAGTGTGGCTCAAGTGGTTGGAAAAGTGTTCATACCGAGGAAAAGCTTTTAATAGGAATGAGAAATTTATAGCAAGTGTTTTACAGAAATGTTTTCACAGAATTGAAAGTCTGTAATATCCTTTGGCTGAAGAAGTTGATGTTATTGCAAAATGATTTACAAACAAAGCACTTGTACTGAAAGAGATCGGCAACAATAGTATAAAGGGCTGACGATCACTCATTGCAAAACGCAGCTCTTAGATTTGTCAAAGGGAAATGAGTAGTGAGGCTCTTCTTTTTCAACAATACAAGAAGTATATTAGAAACATAACTTAAGGTGACTCGTAAAATTTAATAGCATTTTTGGCTTTTACTTTCTAACTCATAAAACTGTGAACACTTGAAAAATTTCAGGAATTTTGATTGTGTAATGTCCTATCACAATAAAGTTTAGGACATGAAAACAAATTTGAAAAGCACAAACCACAGGTAGCCCAAGCTCACTATGAGAGCTCTGAACAACCTTATCCTACTCAGCTAATTAATTATTCATACGGCAGACGTTCTATGAGAATTATCTAATTTCTCCATAATTGAGCGAAACGTGCATTAAAGTTTTCCTATCAAGCTTGCATTTTTTATTTTCTTATGTTTATTTGTGTGTTGACTGCGTTTCAGGCCTACCCTTCTAAGCTAATTAATTATTCATACAGCAAGAAAATTAGAAGGCGTTGTATGAGAAATATCTTTGCTCACTGTGCATTGGACATCGCTTTGAAGCTTACCTTTAGTGTCTTCTTGTTTTTCTTTGTATTCTGACTGTATTTCAGACCTCCTAGGTGACAGTTTTTCACCCAGATGACATAACAAAAGTAACTAAAAAATAACTAAATTGCAGTCACAGATGTTTAAAGAGTAGTACTTTGATTGTTCAGTCTCGTTACGAGGAAAATCACCTTACAACTAATACAAAAACCCGCTCGAGTGTTTCCCTTTTTTAATTGAATTTGGCTCCTCGGACAAAAATATTAATTCAAAGGCGGTGGAGCGTTTTGAAACGTGGAGGGCTCATCTTTCACTCACCCATAAGCATACCCCTACTCAGGATTTTCCAAAATTCCCTTTGCGTTGTTCGTTATCACAAGCAAACCTCTTTCCAGTCTTCACAGTGTCTATTGGTCCGTAATCAATTTTTCACAATGCATCAGTAGGTAAGCAAGTGGCCTATGTCACAGGATTTGGTAAATTTATCTTGGTGTTTTCAGCACCAAAACATGGGGGGCTACGGAGCAGCTGCTCCCCCTCCTATTTCCTGATCATCCGCCCATAAACAAGGGGGGGGGGAGGAATTCTGGTGAGCCGCTGAGGGTTTGACACTGTGGGCCTGGTTGGAACAATAAACCCTAAAATACCACGTTTAGGACAGAGTACAAAATACTCGCTGCGTTTTTTGAAGTCATTTGTTGGCCATTACAATGAATTTTTTCTACTTGCAGTACATGTAATATCTTATTCATAATTAAGACGAACAAACACCGTACAATGTTTTTTTAACAAGGTGTAATAAGTGACGTTACACTTCTGAGTTAATTTATACCTATGCCCGTTTAGAAAAGTGTGATCGCAGGATATTGGGATGTTGACCAAAATTAAGAACAATGTTAACCATCCATTATATGCCCTTTTCCCGAAAGTCAAAGAGTCATCCAAGAGGTTAAGATCACAAGCTAGTCAGTTACAACGGATTAATACAATAAGGTTTTAAAAAATACAACTTAACAATTTAACAATAGAGATATCCAATGTTTTATCAGGTTTTATATGATAATTGTAAATGATGAAAGGAGTAGCCTGCGTAGCAAGCGTTTCCTCGCGAGGTTCGTCTAGAAAGCTGGGACAAGAGCAAAAAAAAAATGAATGACGGGGGAGGGGGAGGGGAGAGAAGGAACCCCCTCCCCCTCCCCCTTCAACCTTTTTTTTGTTTCCTCTCTAACTTTCGCGCAATAACTCGATTGGAAACGCTTGCTAAGCAGGCTATGAAAGGAGGAGAAGTATAAATAATTTTTGCCTGAACTGACCTTGACCTACCTATTGAGATTAAGAAACCACATCATGACCATTTCACTGAAACGCATCATCGCTCACCTTATAATAATTAACATACATGTGGCAGGTCAAAGTAATTGACCTCAGTTGAGCTTTTTATTGTTGTATTGAATCGCCGGTATAGGAATTGTATTTCCATGTAAACATACCTTAGCCTGCGTGGCATGGTATTGGGGTAGGGGCTCTGAGAGGCCAGCGGCACATACCCAGCAAAATTAAAGCAAGTACCGCCCCCCCCCGGCCCCCCCGGCCCCTGGGTCTTTCGTAAGCGGTTGACTGCGACCACTCTTTGCATTAGGGCGACAGTTTTAACATTTTCATTGTTTTTAACCTCTTGTAAGAGAACACTTGACGCATGACCGGGCTCCGGCCGTTCAAAAGCAGTGATAGCCCTATCCGCCGGATAAATCGCTATCCAATAGATAGAACTTATGAAAACTAATTCGGCGTTATCGACTGTGGATAGCAGTATCCACCATTTGAACAACTGGGGCCTGACTGATCTCTTAGTTCGCTGTACGTACTGCGCTACTCAGAGAGCATGCAAAGAACTTTCACTGGCAACACGGAAATTGCATGCAGCAAATTCTCCTTCCAAAAATATAGGTGTCGGGACCTCTACTCGGTAAAGACCCCCTGTGGTTAGACTACGAGCAGTCTCTCTTTTTTCTGTAGTCCGTCGAGCAAAACGCGAGACACGCAAATGGCCACGCGCGTGACTGATGGCGCGAGATGGGAGAGGCACGAAAAAATAGAGACTACCCGCGCGTGCACTCCCCTTACTAAACCGGAAGAAAAAGAGAGACTACTTGCAGTCTACCCTGTGGTTCGATTCTTGTAAGCCAACACCTTCCGTAAAGCGACCACTGAAGTTTCAAAGAAGAGAAAAGAAAAGAGCAAAAGGCAGAAAAACCGAGGAAACCATCTGCCACAGGTCTGCCCCTTGTCTACCCACACCGACAACTGCCCCCACACTGTACCTGACAGTTTTTTCTTTTCTTTGCGCTCTGACCAGGCCTCTATCGGTGTAAAGTCAAGATGGCGGCAAACCTATCTTGCAGATTTCATCTTCTCTTACGCTTGTGATTTAATCAGCACAGAGAAATCTTGTTACTTAAGGTAGGAAAGCTTTAATATGCTATTGATCCGTCCAGCTGCAGAAATCAGCAATAGCGCTTAGCTTCGAACGAAGCGTAGTTTTACACTAATGTACCTCGCGTGCTTTGGTATTAAGCCGTGAGTTTTTAACCGCTCAGAATCTAGCGTGAACAGCTCAGGGCATAATTTGATGAAAAATGGTATGTAAGTGGCTTTTAATGCTTAATCTATAGGGGTATCTAGGAAACGACGACCTATAGAACGAAAACCTGAAACCCAGATGATGAAAACATTTTACCTGATTTTACAGTCGTGGGCCCGGGGGGGGAGGGGGGGGTACTCCCATACATTACCTATACGGGTATGTGCCGCCCAACGGGGTCGTGATTTTGAAGCTCCTGATTTAGAACGGGGTATCCATTTCAGAGACGTTTTCGAGAACGGGGTATAATATGTCGAACGCATGAAAGCTCCAGTTTTGTAAGCAGCCATTTGAAATTATTCAAGGACAGATTGCTTTTAAAAATACGGTTCAATGCGTTAACAAGCAAACTGTTGTACTCTTTGCACCTTAGAATGGAGTATAAAAAATTGGCCCATTTCTAGAACGGGGTATCAGTTTTAGGGCGAATCCTAGAACGGGGTATCAATTTTAGGGGAACAGGATGTCAATTTGGAGTCCCGGGCGGCACATACCCACCCAAAAAATACCCAAGTGCCCCCCGGGGGGCTTAGTGTGCTAGCCTTTGTGTGAACGTGAGGCTGAGCATAGTTAGTAACTTTAGACTGAAGTTGACTTTGTTTCTATAGAAACCTCCATCTTTTTCAAATGTAAATTTTCTTTAAAAATATCATTTAGTTTGTATAAGATTCCTTCTTTTTCATTAAAGTGTCTTTTTTAATAGACACTGAGGGTTGTTGTGTTATGATAGGCATTTCTTTTTCCTCCTTGTTGTTTTATTTCAGGAGTGTTGTCTCCCTTTATGTGAATTTGATTTCTGATAACAGTTCTGATCACAGTTTTATCAACATCTACATTCATAACTCGCATCCATAACTTTTAAAACAGTGAAATGAGTATGATTGTATGATGCCCATATGCAAACTGTTCCAGTCTTTGATATTTCCTGGCCAAAACCTGAACTTGCATGTATCACATGTTGCTTGGAGTGGACTAAACTTAAGTGGATACTATAGGAGTGGTGGGTCTGTTGGAGTCGCTGGTGCCGGACATAGGCCCAGGGGGGGGGTACTGCCATATATGAGCTATATAGGTATATGCCGCTGTGAAGGGTGTGGTTTTCTAGCAGTTTGCTCTAGGATAGGGTATATAAATCAGAGAGTTTGGGTCTAGAATAGGGTATCATTTTTCAGGAAACTGATCAGTCGGTTGAAGATTTTATCTAGACTAGGGATTGTGGTATAAGGTTTTGTTTTGGCTAGACTACTGTGCTAGTGACCTCAGTAGTTTCTGGAAAACAGCTACTCTAGGATAAGGGGGATTTTGGGAGTTTACTCTAGTATAGGGTAGCAAAATTCAGCTGAACTAGCTCTGGTATAGGTTAAGGGTTCCAGGGTCCTAGCAGCACATCCCCACCCAGAAATTCCTAAAGTACCCCCTCCCCCCCCCCCTCGCAGGGGACATAAGTCAAAACAGTAATTTTTTATCAAAGTGTGTGGGTAGCCTCTATCCATCTTTAAGTGCTTTTTTGAAAGTTGAAATATTTTCCTCAAACATTTTTTGGTGGAGAATTTGTTCATAGGATTCTTAAGGTTTATTTGACAAATCCATTTTTAAAACTTGCTGGGTGACAAAAAGTGAAATTTGTGAACTGGTTTCTGTTTGTTGAAAATGTGTCTTTGCGTCAAGGATAGTTTTGTTGTTGTTTGAATGTTGTTGAAGATTAATCTAAATTTTTCCCGCAGGTATTAAATGTGTAGAAGCTTTAATGAGAAAGGAAATTTGAAATGTGTAGCTCTAAAAAATATCCATACCCCCCATGAAGGGCATTTTTGTTTTCGACCCCCACCCCCCTGGAATTTCTCTAATTTTCCAACTTGGTTGGATACCCCCTTGAATGAATATTTTAGTCAAAAATGCCTTTGCACTATACTTTTATGCGATATTGTTTCTGGGATACCGAGAGAAAAAATCTTTATGTTTACATTAATTCAATGTCAAATAATCTAAATATTGCCTTGTATAGGTCTTTCAGTATGGCCTTCGGTATGGCCTTACATGGCAAAAGTGATATCATCTCTCAAACCACAGTGAACTTCAATTACTTCCTTTCAGTTAAAAACATGTTAGAAGAAGGCTTATTAGAACACGACCACATTACATTGAATACCCCAATATACTGTGTAACAAAGCAACAGATAGATAATTGGAATTTTATTTATGAGCTGACAACAATCGTATTTCATAAACTATCATGCAAGCCATGACAAAAGCTGCACTCAGCCGACCGCAAATAAAAGATCATTGATGAAAACAATTATCTATTATATTTCCCTTCAAACACCAATTAAGAGTAAAAAAAACTGATAGCTTGCTTATCAAGTCAGAGCCCCCAGAAAAAAGGCTCGAGAGGCCACTCTGCACCCCCTTCAGAAATTGTCTCCTTTTGGACCACGCTTTCCCTCCGAATTTCCATTGCCCTCCTTGGGGGTGGGGATATGGATATTTTCTGGAACTACACAATATTAGTTCATGCATTTATTACCTCTAAATTAGTGGTTTTTAAATGTTCATCGCCAACCTTGATGCATTGCGCGCCACAAGCACAAATTCCGTGAATTTCATGTTACATGAAATTACTGATAGTTGTGAAAAACGTTTCCACCAAGAATTGGTATCTGTTAGAACGACTCAGTCTGTCCTTTGGTTTGAAAAAGAATTGTCATCTGTTCAAATGGCTGGGGTTATCTGCTAGGAGAAAGTAGTCATCGGTTTGAATGGTTCAACTATCTGTTCAAAAAATTGTCAACCATGCTATTGTTCCCAACCACTTCCACCTGAACCATTTCTTGATGAACCTGTCAAAAAATGTAAGCTTGAATAATTCTTCTAAACGTTGTTTACCATTGCCTCATGAATTTCCGTGGTGCATTTTTTGCTGAATGGCCTTTTTTGCTTTCATAACATTTGATTCTTGTTACAATTAGTTTTATTCATGACTAAGTTATACTATTCAGCAAACATCCCAAATAAGTTGTTTTGATCTTTTTGTATGCAAATACCAAATACTCTTGGTAGCCATGGGAATACTCTGTCACTGTCTGACTCAACAAACTTTGCCTGTTCAAAATACCATCATCCTCCATCACCATTTCAGAGAAAACAATAAAAAGCTATTGCCACAGCACAGATCTGAAAAATAAAAACAGTTACTTGCATCTTCGTGGCATCCCATGAGAAACAATACTTATTTACTGACTTTGTAGGCAAATTGTGCAGCCATTTCTCAGATGAGGAAACACACGCACTGATGCACCTGACTATTTTCTCTTTTAGCGAGAAAGCCAGGTAAGAGTGTTGACCAAACAGAGCATGCCATTTATTTCAAAACAAAAACAAACAACTGCATTGCATCAAGGTTGGCAATGGGCCTTTAAGTTTCTTTTTGTGGGTTTTGATGAATACCTTTACCCCTTTTTTTCACATTCAGATCAATGAACTTGTGAAGAATATAATGGTCAATGCTGCTTAGTGTTTCAAAAATGCGCTTCTTAAGTCTGTCCCTTTCGAAGACTAATCTGAAAGGTGCTGTCAACAAATGCACGAAGGAACATCACAGGTTTGTCCTTGAAAGGGACCAACTTAAAAAGTGCATGTCTGAAACACTAAGCATTATTTAATGACTCTTATATTTGTCAAAACTGTAAATTAAACAATATCCTTACTTTATGACCTTTCTCAATTTCTGATGGACAGTCTGCAAGCTGTCCAAAACTGTGCCACTTGCCTTATAACATGGTTATATTATGCCGGTTCTAAAGCAATTAGACTGGCTTCCAGTTTATAGCTGCATCAAATACAATATTCTTTTGGTAACTTTCAAAACTTTACATGGGCTGGCACCTTCCTACATAACAGAAATTGTTTCCGATTGTTGCGTGGTTTGGTACAATGCCTTTAAATGTTTTAGTGGCACAGGACATCTGAAAGAACATGAACGAGTCCACACTGGGGAGAAGCCTTATGAATGTGAACAGTGCAATAAGTGTTTTTACCAAGCAGGAAACCTTAGGAGACATTTAAGAGTTCACAGTGGGGAGAAGCCTTATAAATGTAAACAGTGTGACAAATGTTTTACTGCAGCAGGAAACCTAAGGCGACACGAAAGCGTTCACACTGAGGAAAAGCCTTACAAATGTAAACAGTGTGACAAATGTTTTAGCCATGTATGTAGCCAAAGGAGACATAAAAAAGTTCACAATATGGAAAAGCCGTACAAATGTAAACAATGTGACAAATGTTTTAGTCAAGCAGGAGACCTAAGAAGACATGAAAGAGTTCACACTGGGGTAAAGCCTTATGAATGTAAACAGTGTGACAAGTGTTTTAGGCAAGTAGGAAGCCTAAGAAGTCATGAGAGAGTTCACACTGGGGAAAAGCCTTACAAATGTAAACAGTGTGACAAGTGCTTTACTCGCGTATCAATCCTACGGAGACATGAAAGAGTTCACACTGGGGAAAAGCCTTATGAATGCAAACAGTGTGACAAATGTTTTAGTCAAGCAGGAGACCTAAAGAGACATGAAAGAGTTCACAATGGGGAAAAGCCTTACAAATGTAAACAGTGTGAGAAGTGTTTTAACCACGTAGCAAGCCTAAGCAGTCATGAAAGAGTTCACACTGGGGAAAAGCCTTATGAATGTAAACAGTGTGGCAAGTGCTTTTCTCAGGTATCAAACCTAAGGACACATGAAAGAGTTCACACTGGGGAAAAGCCTTATGAATGTAAACAGTGTGACAGATGTTTTAGAGAAGTAAAAGAGCTAAGGAGACATGAAAGAGTTCACACTGGGGAAAAGCCTTATGAATGTAAAGAGTGTGGCAAGTGCTTTACTCGCTTATCAAACCTAAGGGCACATGAAAGAGTTCACACTGGGGAAAAGCCTTACGAATGTAAAAAGTGTGAGAAGTGTTTTCGCCAAGTAGCAACCCTAAGGAATCATGAAAGAATTCACACTGGGGAAAAACCTTATGAATGTAAAGAGTGTGGCAAGTGCTTTACTCGCGTATCAACCCTAAGGACACATGAAAGAGTTCACACTGGGGAAAAACCCGTACGAATGTAAACAGTGTGACCATTGTTTTCGCCAGGTAGGAAACCTAAGAAGTCCTGAAAGATTTCAGTGTGGCAAGTGTTTTACTGGCATATCATTCCTAAGGAGACACAGAAAGAGTTCACACTGGGGAAAAATCCTTACGAATTTAAACAGTGTGCCGGGCGAGTGTTGTATCCAAAACGAAAGCCCAAGTGATCGTGAAAGATTTCACACTGAGGAAAAACGAAATTGATACTAATACTTTACGATACCTGAGGAATTATAAAAGAGTTAACACTCAGGAAAAACCGTTTGAATGTAAACAATGTAGCAAGTGCTTTAGCTAAGCAGAAAACCTGAGGAAACAAGAACGAGTTCACACTGGAGAGTAGCCTCCTTAACGTTAACAGTGTGGCGAGTGTTTTATCCAAATTCAAAGTGATCGTAAAAGTAATCACACTGAGGAACAGCCTTTAATAGGAATGAGAAATTTCTAGCAAGTGTTTTACAGAAAGCGGAAAACTTGGAAGACATGAAGGAATGCATACTTCAAAAAGGTCACGTAAATAGCCTCACAGTACTGTAGGGAAAGTCTGTCATATTCTTTGGATGAAGAAGTTGATGTTAGTGTACCACGATTTACACCTTTTGACCTTCATTATCTGGAAAAAAAATTAATTAGTTAACATGATAATATGATACATTTTAATTGATGGATAAACAGTTTAGCCAAGAAAGCAAGCATTTAATTAGGTTTTTGCATCAAGAAGAACAATCATTAAAGCCAATTTGTATAGCGTTTTATCGAAAACAATATTCTTTAGTGCGAATGAAGTTTCATCGGGTGAATGTTCGTTTATGAGAATAGAATATCAATATTTTTTATGAGCATTATATTGGCATTATTGCGTTGAATTTAGAGGGACAGCGCACTTTAATTCGGGAGCGAATCTCACAATATACCTGTAGCAGTTGCGCGTATAGTGCATTGCAATCATTTCGTTAGGTTCGTACGTTGCACATACCAGAACTCACGCCTTTTAAGACTTTTGAAGATTTTAAGAAGTATTCCGTTGCGTTAATGCCCTGCAGTACCCGGGAACACTCCACTGACAGGCCGAATCTCCAAAGATACAAAAAAAGACGAAAAATCTCACATACAAAATCATCAATGAATCAATTTGTTTTATCTGTAACGGAAAAAATTAAAGATGTAGATACCGAGAGTTTCAAACCTTGTTTAAAGCAAAATCGGTTTAATTTGCCTCCTTTTTAAGACAACAGACCTTTTTCCGTGCCTGATATTCTAGCATTCTTAAATAGAAAAAGATGTTACCATGGCGCACCGTCGTTGTTCACATCCTCTTTAAGGCCTTCAATGCAACAGACAGGTGGTATAAATAAATCACCCTGTTTAGCACGCTAAATAGTGGTAGTGGTATTGTATTCCTGTTAATAATAATAATAATAATAATAATAATAATTTTATTCATTTATAATGCGCTAATTAACATGCTAGGTGATCAAAAGCGCATGCGCATGTTACAAGACTCAAGATCCTAAAACCATAGCCTGTTGGATGGCACATACCCGTTTGAGACAAATAAGAGAATGCAATGGTGCTCCGCTGCGAGAGCTCCACTAGGGTCTTTGTAGGCCGTTTTAGTGAGTCGTCATTCTCACTCAATCTCCGTTTTTCCAGGTACAGATGAAGCATACAATATTTATTGATTCATTTATGATATTTGAGATCGTCAAGTGTTTTGTGACTTTTCTTTGTCTTTATTATTATTATTATTATTATTATTATTATTATTATTATTATTATTATTTAAGGGTGTTCCGGGGTTTTATGGTTTTGTTCCGCGTTCTTTCATCACTTCTTTTATTTTCGGTTCTTTACGTTCTGTTTAAAAAACGAGCAGGAGTGGCGCCTCGAGTTTTTAAACCTGATAATACAGGACTACGAATTTTTTTAACGGCTTCAACATATCTGATAAAAATAAACTCATTCTTGCCCTTATGTTTAGATTTGGGGTTATTTTTGTCTAAAAACTGATTGGACGTAAAGTGTAGCGGTGTCTTGATGAGATATAAAGATGCTCATTAAACATAAATATTTCTTTTGTTTTGTCTTTATGAATTATTAATGAGTTTTAGAAAGTTTAGTTAAGTGTAATCTTCAGTACGTTTCGTTACTTATGAATGGTCATTCAATTTTGTAATAAGTAATTAAAACATCAACAACGTTAGTCATAATTTTTAGTACATCTCATCTCCATAACCACACGATGCGACGTTTCATGGACGACTTTGAACGCATCAAGACAAACTTCTTCTTCTGAACTGCAATCCTTTAAGAATTCAACTCCAGGAAATTCGCAAGGCTTTCCTGTCTTTTGAAACATTTCTGAATTGTATAGAAAGCTTTGTTTTCATTAAATCAAGGTTCCGTTCCACAAGGTCGTTTATCCTGTAACTTTTCGAAACATGTCAGGTAATCGGAAAATTGTTTTGCAGGTCGTCTGGACAAAAAACACACAATTTGAGTTAAAATTACCTGGTATATGAAGGTCCTTTGACTTCATTTAAATATTTTAGGGCCATGGATTCTTATCAAGGCCTTATGATATCTGTTTGGGTTGAAGATAATCGATAGGGTTTTTGAAAGGGAAGGTTGATGCAATTAATAACGCTCTTTCAAGAATAAGTCAGCGGTTAATCTGGCTAAAAAAACTTTAATGCAGTTACATATATTAAGCTTTGAAAAAGAGTAGAACTTGATTTGTTCAGTCTTCTTACGAGGAAAGTCACCTTTACAATTAAGACAAAAACAGGCTCGACTGTTGCCCTTTTTTAATTAAGATTGGTACAAACGCTGTAATAATGTACCGTATTTATTCGAATAAGCGCCCAACCTCGAATTAGCGCCCACCTCGAATAAGCCCCCATCCTAAAGGCAGAAAAAGTTAATAAGCGCCCACCCCACCCCCCCTCCCTTCCGATCCAGCTCAAACTCAATAAAGCGCCCCCCCCCCCCCCATCCACTTTCCCACCCCCAACCCCCCCCCCCCAAATTGAGTAAGTTCTCCTGAATAAGTTCTAATAAGAGACTTCCCCGAAACCTTGCTTTGTTACAGAAACCTTGCTTTGTTACATCTTCGCGTTTTGTTATTACCATTTATTGTTTTGTTGTAAAATAAACGTACTACACTTGCTGAAAATGTTGAAAATTTAATAAGCGCCCAGCCTCGAATAAGCGCCCACCTCGAATAACCGGCCATTCTCAAAGTCCAAAAATTTAGTAAGCGCCCGGGGCGGTTAATCGAATAAATACGGTATTATGGTTATTGCTCCCTAACAAAATCTGTTTGCCATCTTCTTCATAACTCTACAGGAGCATTTTGTATATGAGTTAAGACATAAAGTAACGACTTCAGCCTAATCTATAATCTAACGGACAGTTGGGGAGAAATGAATGCGTGACGAACGAACCCCAAAGGACATTGGCGGGGAGGCTACTTCTGTCAGCGACCACTGAGTTTTCACTTTACAAGAGGTTCGACTATTCGCGCAAAAGGATCACACAACCGCTATGGATTCGCCGTGAGTGAAAAAAAGAAATAGAAAAGAAAACTGCGAAAAACAGAATAACCGACGAAACCATCTGAGTTCCTCTGCTTTGGGTCTGCCCAACACCCGGGGGGCGGACTCCCATATGAAACAGACGGGGATGCTCGTCGTCTCGCTTAGGGGTGTAAATTTTGGATTTTGGTCTCGCTTAGGGTGTTCCGGGCAAAGCGCCAATATTTTAAGCCGCCAAGGAAAACAGAATCTCTGTTTAGGGTTCCGCGAAAGAAAATTTTGGATTTTGGTCTCGCTTAAAATATTTTAGAATTTGTTTAGGGTTCCGCGAAGAAAAACAGAATTACGCGAAGAGAAACAGAAGTCAATTTTCTTTTTAACTTTGTTTGTCATGTCTTTATATCATTAAAACTCATTGCATGTCGTATTTGTGTGTTTTAAGGGGTTTCTTTTAGGGGTCAAAATTTGCTTAAGCCACGCCCAGATTGGTCTCCTTTAGGGGTCACAAAAAGCTTGAGCCACGCCCAGATGGTCTCCTGTAGGGGTTAAATTCAAAATTTCCGACGAGCATCCCCGTCTGTTTCATATGGGAGTCCCCCTCCCGGGGCCCAACACCGGCAACTGCCCCAAAAGGGTCCCTGATACGTCATATTTTCTTCGCGCTCTCACCAGGCCTTTGTCGCGGTTAGACCACGATGGCGGCCACTATTTTTTTCGGATAAACTTCTCTTGCTGTTTCATCTTCTCTTACGCGTCTGATTTAATCAACACAGCGAAATCTTGTTACTTAAGGTAGGGAAGCTTTTAATATGCTATTAATATGTCACATTGAAAAAAAATAGCAATAGCGTTTTAGGTTTAGCTTCTGACGAAGCGTAGCTTCAGACTGAGGTGGCTCTCGTGCTGTCGTGAGTTGGTATTCTTGGTAAGCCATGAGTTTTTAGTCGCTTAGGATGTAAATTGAACACCTTAGAGCATAACTTGATGAAAAATAATCTGTTATTGGCTTGTACTGCTTCATTTATGGGGATATCTAGGAAACGACGACCTATAGAACCACAGGGCAACCACACAATGTTTGTGTGTAACCGATTGTTAATTTATACCTTGCGTAGCAGGCGCTTGGAAGTAGTGGGCGCCCGTTCTTTCTTGGGCCTGCTACGCATGCTAGTTATTTTATAGTAAATGTACTGGATTTACCATTTGCTTCACCTATAATGATGCATTTGAGGCAAAGGACGATGATATACCACAGGTAAGGTAATTCAAAGTTTTTTCAACATTGATTTATATACATACATAGCGATATATCGGTATAGCTGAAGCAAATGGTGAGTCCAGTACATTCACTATAAAAAAACAATCGGTTACACACATAAAATGTGTGGGCACCCTGTGATAGAACAAAAACCTGAAAGCCAGATAGTGAAAACTACGGTAATAGG